AATTTTACTAAAAAGTAAAGTCATATATATATATATATATATATATAAGTTTCAAATTGTTTTTTAAAAAAATTTATCAGAAACGATTAAAAATACGTGCAATGGTGTACAAGTATTTCCATTCTTTTTTCTCCACTAATAGGTGAGATAAAATGTCAGTAACTGTTTTGAGCTAAATAAAGCAAACAAATATTCTTTTTGTTATGACTCTCCTAGTTTTATGCTTATTATAAATTATCATTAATATTATTAATTTTTCTGATAATTTCATTCATTTGTTTTATTTGACAAATGTTATTGCCAGTAATTTTTTTAATGTTAAAACTTTGAAACATAAAAAATAGTGTCGACACTTATAATAATTAATGTTATGTCAATGATAAAATTTTCACATAATAAAAAAGGCAATTTTCACATATAGCAAACAAAAAATTCATATTTGTATGTTATAGCAAAGTTTACATAATTGCGTTCCATAGCAAACATAAAACTGTATAATTCGCTATACATATACAATTGTATAATTCGCTGGCCTATTTCGCTGCAATTGTATAATTCGTTATCCTATTCTGCAATTGTATAATGCACAATTGTATAATTCGCTGCCTATTTTGTTGCAATATGTTTATAAAATTTGTTTTGCATACAATAGAATCGAATTAAAATGTATGTATATTGCATAATTATAAGTGTATAGCAACAAGATATATGTTTTTCTCTCGCTTTATACAAAAACGGAAACACAATATATACACTTCTGTTGTATAAAGATAGAGAAAATTGTATTTCACTGCGATTGTTTAATTAAGTGTATAACACGAAAATATATGTTCTTGCATGTGTATATACAATTTTCTCTCGCTTTATACAAAACAGAAACAGAATTTATACACTTCTGTGTATAAAGCGGGAGAGGCGAGCAGAGGGAGAGTGGCGAGCGAGAATGGAAGAGTGGCGAGCAAGATTTTTAGGAGAGAGGCGCCTGGCAAACTTTGGCTAACGTTTGCTATGAAGCACAATTAAATCAAACCCTAGCTACTCCATTTATTTTAGGTTATTAGTTTGCTATTATATACAATTTTCCTATAAAACTAAGCCAACTTTCTCGTATAGAAAATGCCCGAGTGGCCACTTTTGCTAATTTACCCTTTCTTAGAAACTTTTTTTTAATTAAAATTACCAACTACATAAAAATTTCTTAAATAAAACAATCTACCATATGAAATATAAGACCACAAATTTAGTTCTCATTTTTTTGCCTTCAAACTTACAATATAGTGAGAGGCATGAGGCCCAACAAAGTAAGTGGTCCACATAACAAATTACATATTGGACTTTATAGTTAATAAAGCATCCACCATTAGTAAATCTAGGAAATTAATGAAACCTAATTTCCATTACATGAAAAATCAAAGAGGGTTAATATTGAAATTGAGTATACACTATATAAAAAGACTTAGCCATAGGCGGACCTTTATCCATTGAGTTTAGAGGCTGTGATCGGTTCAAAGGACAGGCCGCAGACGGATTTCTTGATTATGAAAAAAACAAACTTAGCCATATTTTTTCTTAAAACTACCACAAGAGATTATTAAGTTGTGATGAAGCTTGTGAATCCTCTTCATCTTGTGATGGAGAATGAACATGTCTACCTTCGTATGTTGTAATCACCATTCTTGGATCTTCTGCTAATCTTTCCACACGTTTCTTAACTCTACAATTATCTTGTGTACATCGATAATAGCTCCTTCAAGACAAAAAATGGCGGAGTCAGGAATTTTTGAACTTATCTTTACTAATATAACGACATTCATAAGCTAATACAAAAACAAATGAGATTTGTATGTACATTATTTGCAATTAGCACATTACAATTTAAGGGTTGAGGTAGAGTAGGGTTGAGATGAATTCATTAGCTTTTACGTAATAAAAACTTATTAAACATGTAAAAAAATTAAAAGAATTATGAGATTGATGCTAGTTCAGAATTTATAAACTTTAAATCTTAATTTTATCTCTGTCTTCTCGATTGTGGTTTTGTCAATCATACCATAAACAAATAACCTCAACAAACATATAATTGCTAAAAATAGATATTTTAACGATTATTTTTCCATCTGAATAAGTTGAAATAATTGAGGTACACAAAGGCGGATCGAAGACCATAATCAAGATGGTTCAAATATTGTCAGATTTGACTGAAAATGTTGTAACACAAACTTATTGGAAATAATGAATAGGCAGGCATAGACAGGAAATATCATTAGTTTTTTTATGTTCTTTCATGTCTATTTTCTTATCTTTGAACAGTATTTTCTTTTAATTTAGCCTTTGTTGTGACAACTGCCAAAACCTGCAAAGAGTCCCTAGTCTATACTATATATATGCATATATATATATATATATATGTATAATATATATAGTATATTCTAATTAGATTTTGGGACAGTGACTATAATTATTTCATTTGTTCAGTATAGGACAACACGCGTATCTGCATCAAATTTATCCATAATTTATTTACAATAAAACATAAAAATACTAAAAATGAAGAACAAAACAAACACTAAAAATTCTAGTAAATGTTGCAAATAATGTACTTTTTTTTTTACATGGTCTGATATTCACATTAGAGTCTTGACTAAATTAAAATTTGTACTAGAAAATCTTACATTTGTTGGAGGTAAAATGTTCTTAACAAAAGAAGGAAACTCAAACTGAGACCTCTAGTAAATGATGAAAGACTACTTACCACTCTGAAACATTTAGTTACGCACTCTTTACCTCCTACTCTAAAGTTGTGAATTCAACTGACCAAGAAAGCAAAAAGATAGAAACTCTCGGAGAGGATTTAGAAAAATTAAATGCAAAACCTAATGATTTGACTAACTAGGATTACTGGATTTTAACAATTGGTAAAACAAGAATTTTCATCAAAAATATTTAATATTTATTTATTACTCTCTATATATATAGGATGTAACTTTTTAACGAAAGGAATTTTTAATAACGCTTCATGCAAAAAAGACAGTTTCAACGGCTCAAATCTAATACCTCTACCTACTTTTAAGGGTACTAGATAATATTAACCCTATCATTTAAATCAATTAAAGCAATGTATAGTTCCCTAATTTTAAAACATTTTGATATATGTAATGCAATATATAGCTGTTTGTAGGACAATGTGGGGTTACTTTACCTAGTACAATAAAAAGGTTAATTTTTTTTATTCTTTTTGAGGAAATGGAAAAGAAATAGTGTTACATACATAGAGTAGCAAATTGCAAACTGGCAATTGCTGGATTCATTATCACTAGTGCCAGTGCCTTTAACAACAGTGGGCTCCCTTGTGATCAAAAGTTATTACACTTTTTTGTTAAATTAAAATGAGTTTAATTTTCATATACTAAGTATACTAAAAAAATAATTTTTACACTATCAGAACTAGGAGATAACTCGTTGTTGATTTAGAAAATTTCATATCCATAAGATATCTTCATCCCAAATCGTTTATGGACTTGTCCCTCATTGAACAAAAGGGATTCGTAAGGCACAAAATCATTTTCATATTCGAGAATCTAAATGATTCATATATAGTGACTTGAAAAAATCCACTACAAAGAATTAAACGGTGATCATCAATTGATTACCCTTGATCAAAGTTATTTTTAAAAAATTACTCTAGAGTAGCCTCAGATGAAATCTAAACTAAAAGGGGGAGATAAAGTAAACTCCTAAAGAAAAGCTCTATAGTAGTAATCATTCAACAATAAAAGTTTCAATTTACTATTAACCTAAAGATGGGATCCTCCCCATGTCAAACATATAATTAAAGATGTAGTAAAAGTTATCATTATTTTTGTTTTTTTTTCTTTATTAACTTATGGGCCTTAATTAGGGTTTTCATCTAGTATAACATATATAATGCATGGTTCTTTCAAATATTAACACTACCAAATCTTGATCATAAGTTGTTCCAAGTATTTATTAACCACTTAATCATGATGTGATTCATCAATCTCTTTTTACTTTTAACAAGTAATTTTGCAATCATTTTTCAAATAATAATTCCTAATTAAAAGATGATCTGATTTAAAATCTGTAACACGCCCAAAAAGGCTATCATTTCATGAGTACCAATAGTTACAAATATTATTCAATCATTTTTTATTTTTGTCTTTTGAGGTTAATAATAACATTTACTTTAACCCTCTCCACTAGAAATTACCTTGCATACATATATACATAATACAAGCAACAATAGTATCAAACACCTAATGTTAGTATCAAACCAATTAAGTCTGAGATTCAACCTTTAATAATAATGTGAGGATTGGAGAACTTTCCCTTTTAATAGGTCCTAGAAGCATTTAAATTTTATCTAAGTTATTTTACAAATGCTAACATATTTTATAATGTGAAATAACTTTAGTCAGAATAACGAATATCGAATCGAACATTAGATAAAAAAATCACCCAAATATCAAAACCACTACTAAAATCAATCTACTGACTAGCTAGTGTAAACAATTATTGTTTTTTTTTTAATTTGAAATACAAAAAATGAGAGTCACACCATTTTATCAATGAAAATGAAGGAAGATTGTTAAATAAAGAATAAACATAATTAGAATGGAAAACAAAAAGTATAATTATAATGGAAAAAAGAAGTACCTGGGATGTTGGGTATTTTTGACAACTTTTTGTCCATATTTTCTCCATTTATAACCATCATCCAACACATCCACATCACTCATAGTTTTGAAACAAAATCTTGGTTCTCTTACTTTTCTTCTTGATGATTTGATCTTCTTCATCTTAATTGATGAAACCCCTAAATTATGATGATCAAGATCAAATTCCTTTGATCTCTTAATAATATTGCTCCTCTCATTCACTTCTCCGCATGCCCTAAAATACATCATACACATACTAATTAGCCATAACAACTAACTATAATGCAAACTATAAGAAAAAATAATTGAAAAATAATCAAGGTTAAGCTATGTTATTTTATTTAGACATGGGGCACCCGAATCGAATTTGAATCCGATTCTATATGCGCCTGTCGATATTTTTGAAGAGTTAGAATAACATAGAGGTTAAGCTATGTTGTTCAGACATCCTTGTTGGATCCTTCAAAAATATACGACTGAATGTACTGTTTTGGAGGATCCTACATCTACTTGTCGACATTTTTGAAGAGTTTGCACTGTATAAAGGTTACATACATGTTAAATCCTTCAAAATAGATGACTTTTGGAGGATTTGACAATATTTTTGAAGAGTTTGGACAATACTGAGGCTAAGAGAAGAAATATTAATGATTACCATGTATTTGTATTGGATTTTTGCAAGGAAAGAAGATAGGATCCTTCAAAAATAGAAGTAGTAAGGTCCTCTTTGTGCCTTGGATCATGTGTAGATTCAATATTTAAGGAATTATGATCAAAAGAGGGAGGGATCATAGTGAGGGTTTTTAGAGTATTTTGGTTGTATCCAATAAATGGTAGAGTAGAACTTGCAGTACTACTTATGCCCATATTGTTGCAATTTGGAGGAAAAGAGAAAAATCCTAGTTGTGTTGACATATCTTGATGATCCTCAAACAAGCTTTGGCTAAACATTGCTTCTTCTTTTTTTTTGTTTCTCTCTCTTTCTCTCTCTTTCTCAGTGTGTGTGAAGGATGAAGAAGAAGGTGTAAGATAGAAAAACTAGGCAGTTTGAATTCTTATAAGTGGAAAAGGACTAATATTTGGTGACACTACACCAAAGGAAATAAGAAAGGTCATCTTTATAGGTATAGTTTAGGTTAAAAGAACCAAATGACTCGAATATTGGCGGAATCAGAATTTTTATAAAAATAATTCAAAATATTATAAAGTTAAACTTAGAAAAAAGTCGGGGATTCAACAATTTTTATTTTTATATGATTTTTTGATGAAGGGATCGGAGTTTAAATAAACCCTTTGTGATACCATAGCTACGTCCATGCGCGTATAGAACTAGATACGGTGGTAAAGAAAGTGATATAGAGTCAATCGAAAAATTAGTTCGTGATGTAAGAATTATTCAAAAATTATATATGAAGAAATATAATAGTGATTGCCTCCACCGCACATTTCAAAGATTTTCAAACATGCATGAACAATGTAATATTATGTAAAATAAAATTGAAAATAGGAACTTGTATTATTGTAATAATTTAAAGAAAATGGACTTGTATTAGGTCATGAGAAGCTAACTACATGTTCAAACATATAATCCAAATTTTAAATACTTTCTAGTCATATATATATATATATATATATATATATATATATCTAC